AACAACTGAAATTAAACACACCTAAAACCAACAGTAACTTTTTTTTCTTATAAATATCTATCTATCTATCTAATAAATTTGTTATTTTCAAAGTTTCTTGCATCTTTTGTAAACAAATATTCTAATGTAAATTATTAGTTCATTGTAATAGAAAATATGACGTCTCTGGCGCAGTTTCCAATCATCATCCGTGTAGTGCAAATGGACATTTTGTGAAAGGTGCATGGGTATGTGAGCTGGCGAAGGCTGCGCCGAACCATAACTGTGCGTTCGACTCAAGTATAAAATAGCCTTAACAGAGTGGGGTCATGTTACGCCACACACAGTAGAAGTGTAAAGTAATTGAAAAAACTGACCTGTAAAAATTAGATCGATAATAGGTTCTGAATGTCGATTTCGTTTACTTTTCGATTAATCACCCAGCCCTAAATCTGAGATGTAAAAAAATATTAAAATACTGAAAAAAAACATTTAAAGTTGAACAAATTGAGTTCTAAGCAATGCAAATAACAAAAAAAATAAGTTTTGATGTATTTACAATAGGAAACTTACTAAATATCTTCATGGAACGTGAACTTTAGTTAATATTCCCATGGTTTTTAGCATATAATAAAAATGTATTATTTTGACCCAGACAATATGTGTTTGGGCCTTGCCAATAATTTGCCAGAGCAACGTAAGATCGGTTTTGTGCTCCGGTATCGCATTAAGAATAAACCATTTAAAATGTAAATTGTTTTGAAAAAGATGTACATTCAAGAGACTTAAATAATCAGTATGAGCCAAAAATAAAGGCCATTGAAACCTCTATATAGTAGGGTTAACACAATACTGGAATTTGGTACCAGTCGATGCTGAAATTTTAAAAAACGTTAATTTCCTGTCAACATTTACGCACTGTTGAGTGTGTTCTTAAACAGAGCTGTTTCATTAATTGTTTTATTTGACATAGACAATTACACTGGACAACTAAATGCATTTGTTTGTGATTTAGCAGACATGCTAATTCTCAACACCTGTCCACTTGAGGCTTAAAAAATTGACAAAATGGAAATATAATAATTACATATACACAACAATATAATTCTTTACATAAAATTACTGAAGGCAAAAGCAAGGGCGGCATGATCAAACAAATAGTAGACTATTTGTGCAAACACTGCTGTTTTGTTTTAACCCCTTTTTAAGAACACTACTAAAATATTTATATTACTTTCTAATTTTAGGTTTACATGTAAATCATTGCACAATTGCCTCCCTTAACAGAGAAAACAGATTGATCAAATGAGGTTTTACACTTCGGCACTAGACAGTCACCATTAGCAGTTGCTCGAGTGACTTTGTCAGAGGTTTGATGCCGACTGATTAGATTAGAAAACAGGACTGAAACATGATTATTTAAACATTTAAAAACCAATTTAAGATAATTACATTTAATAAAAGAATCAAAACTAAAAAGGTACTGTTTACGTAAAACATCACAATGATGCCATCGCATAGGCTTTAAGTCCATAATTTTAACTGCATGTTTGTATATCAAGTCAATAGGCTTCAAAGCTATTAAATTACATAACATTGCCATTATGTTCAACAAAAATGACTGTGATTGGCTGTGAAGGTCATCAGTTAACTGAACTCACCGCTGTTTACTGAGTGTAACCACAGATGCAGAGACATTAGAGTGTTTTAAAGCTGCGATTCATCAACAGATCACTTGTATGTCAGCTTATAGACAAACCAGCTGATAAAATGCTCGATTGTGTTTGTATCTGTGGTTACACTCAGTAAACAGTGGTGTGTTCGGTGAACTGATGACCTTCACAGCCAATCACAGTCATTTCTGTTGAGCACATGAACACAATCAACAGTTTAAGAACACACTCAAATATTCGCGGCAAATTGATGTTTTTTAAATTTCAATACCGATTGGTACCGAATTCCAGTATCATGACAACCCTACTATATAGTAAGAAGAATGTCAGAATTACGTTCATTTTAAAGGTTGTGTGCAGGTTTTCTCATGAGAGGGTGAAGTGGAAGATCTTTTGGTGTTGAGGTGAACATAAAAGCTAACGGGTTCACATCTGTCACCTCTCATCTCTTCTAAATTTCAGTATGATTCATTTATCATTGTGTTTCGATGTGTTATTTCTGGTAGGACGACGAGGATGTGTCTTCTGGAGTTCCTGAGTTTGACACGGTGTCTGATAACGGGCTGTTGAGCAGAAACGAGCCCATCCGCAGTAAAGTGTCCAAACTCACGGAAAAACTGCGCAAGCGGGTTCCTACCAATGCCACCGGTCACTATAAATCTCTTGATAATTATTTATTTTCAGCGTACTGCATTATGTCTCTCTATTTAACTATTTCATTCCTTTACAGGAAATTGTGTTCAGTGCAATTCGGCATTTTCTGTTTTAAAGAAAAGGGTATTGATTCTGATTTTAGTTGCTGATATTTTTCTGATCTTATTTTGTGGCGGTGTTTCATTGGTGATCTTTTTATTTCCAGAGAAACTGCAGTAACTGTGGCATCAGCTTTTGCTCTCGCTGTTGCTCGTATAAGGTGTTCAGATCGACCATGGGAGCCACAGGTACACGAGGAGCACGTGAATTTACCATGATTTTTAAGTCGAAGATGATTTTCTACATTGTTCTCTCTTCTTTTTTAATCCTTTAGCTCCTGAAGCCCAAAGAGAGACTGTGTTTGTTTGTTCCACTTGTAACACTTTCCTCAGCACCAAGTAGGATTGACCATCATCCTGAAACAATCCACCACTTTCCAAACTTGCAATCCTGTAAAACAAACTTGGGGTGGAACACGTGTTGGCTACTGAAGTGATTCTTGAGGTCTTGTTCCTTCCTTCACATGGAAAACCAAATTCCATCTTCTTATGTTTCCTCTTGAGTTTTTTGTCTGTTCTAAGATTGTGGCCTCCTATTAGCTGCTTACTCTGTGCAAGTCTAATACATCCAAACTGTGATCTCGCCTTGCTAAGAGATCAGATGCTGTGCTTTCATCATTGACATCAATTTCCAGAGTTCTTGGTAGGATATCAGGTTAAAATCAAGGGTCCTGGAAATCTGTTATTACTGTATTATTGCACATTATCCTAAAGAATGCAACAAGACTGTGTAAAAGAGGGGTTATTCGTCAAATGCAATGGACTTTAAGGAATAGTTTAGCCAAAAAAAATGAAAATGTCTCAGCATTTTCTCCGCTTCAAGTGGTTTCAAACATATATGCTTTCTTTTTTTAATCTGTTGAATGCAAAACAAGGTATTTAGCTATAAGATGCATACTAGGAAAAACAAATATTATTGAAATCAATTTTTACCTTATCATTCCTCAGTTTGTGGAGGGTGAGTAAATGATGACAGCATTTTCATTTCACTATCCCTTTAATATTGATAGCTCTATTATACAGTTTTTTAATGCTGTTTAGTTAACGTGACATCAGTTGTTTATTAAGAAATGGTATTTATCTCTGACTGCAACAACACTCATGATTCATAAACCCTAGCTGCTTTATGCTTGAACCCATAATAGTTGAATCTATAATTTATTTGTGTATTTTTGTCTGACAAGTCCTTAATCGATATATGTGTTTGTGGACATTCTCAGTAAACATTTATAGTAATCAAAGTAATGCTATCATATTAGCCTCTCAGCACAGAAGCGTTTTGCTGATCATATTGCTATTGAAACAATGAGCTGTGTTCTTTTCTGTCTTTTATTTATCTGTCTGTTTGTCTTTAAGCCAAGGTTGAATGTAAAACCAACACTTTATGGGGTATAGAGCTATTTCATATCACTGCTATTTAAACGTAAATTCAGATGTATTGGGGGAATATATCTTGAGTGAAAGCCTGTCCGTTTTCTTTGTCAAAATCTACTGTTACATTAATAAACAATATGAATATGGATGTGTGGAATTTCTGTGAAGAATTTTCGCGCCACATTCACTTAACACTCAACTGAACAACTGTTATGGCGCCTCTCGCATTGTTAACCGCCATTTATATTTAAAAGATAAACAAAGCGCCACACAATCCCCCATCAGAGTTGTTGCTAGAAGGGATACAGCTGCGGCAAGAAATTTATGAAAATTATTCATATTTCATATCTCCGCTATTTCATAAATTCAGATTTTTTGAGGGAACATATCCTGAGTGAGTTTCTGACCGTTTGCTTCGTCAAAATCAACTGCTACACTAATACACAATATAAATATCTGTCAGGAATTTTTGCACCACATTCACTTAATAACACTCTTGTCAACTGAACAACTTGGCGCCACTCACACTGTTGGCTAACCGCCGTTTACATTTAAAGATAAAACGCTGCACAATCCCTCAGTCAGGGTTGTAGAAAGAATACAGCTGCGGCCAAAAAATAAAAATTATTCAAACATATTCATATTTCATTTTAATGGTATTCAAACGTAAAGGCAGATTTATTGGGGGAATACATGCTGAGTGAAACTCAGCACAATCTACTGTTACATTAATAAACAATTTGAATATGGATGTGTGGAATTTCTGTGAGGAATTTTCTCGCCACATTCATTTAATAACCGTCTTGTTAACTGAACTGTTTTGACGCCTTTCGCACTGTTGGCTATTTAAATATAAACAAAAGCCCCACAATCCCTCACAGTCTGGGTTGTTGTTAAAAGGGATAGAGCTGCGGCCAGAAATGTATGAAAATTGTTCTTATTATTTATTAAATTATCTATTAATTGTTTTTTGAACGTCTACCCCAACCCTAAACCCAAAATCAAAGTAATGTAAAAACAAAACAGAGGAATATTTACATTATTTGTTAAATTAGCTATTCAGTTGTATTTTATTGACGTCCACCTCCACCCAAATTCTAAATCCAAGCCTTACAGTAAAGTAAAACTATTAATTATTGCTGTACAGTGTCACTAAAACATGTATGTAAAGCTGTATGCCATCTAGACTTTACCCTCAATCTGACTTACTGTTGCTATGGTTACCTTCTCAGCTGAACACAGCTTCTCTCCCTGAGCGTCCACTACTGAGCTTTGACTCGTCTGTATTATAATACTTGTGCTTTAAAAACATAAATCCTCATCACAACATTACTTCACATGACTGAAGCCGTTGGAATCTGCGCGGCTTCGGTTACCCCTCCCCCCGCGCGTCAGAACATTGTGTGATTGTTTCCGGCCCCGCCCCCTCTCCGTTTATCCCCACGTCCAAACGTTTATTCCCGTGAACCCGTTTCAGCACCCGGGACAGGCGTCGCGTGCTCGCATGGCAACATGGCCACAGAGGTGAGCAACACCCTTTATCCATTAATGCTTTTCTGCACCCGCTGTGCTTAAAGACTTGTTTTGTAGGACACCAGTCCGTGTAATCGGTGTCGTTATTTAAATCAGGGCTGGAGATCACGGATCAGTTCGTGACGTTACAGACAAACTGTCCGTTTTCACGCGTCGTTTTTAAATCCGACAGAGATACTGCTAAACCAATAACACAGAATAAACTAAACATACAACACACAGTGTAAGCTACATGCTAGTCATGAGCAGCTACAAGTTAAACGATTATAAACACAGATAGATAGATAGATAGATAGATAGATAGATAGATAGATAGATAGATAGATAGATAGATAGATAGATAGGCAAGGCGGTAATTAAATTTTTATTTGAGTCGAAGTGACTTAAAATCAAACCGACTATTCTGCTTTAACTACATTTTAAAGGTTGTGATCAGGCAGCCGACATGTTTAGTAGTTCTTGGTGCCTTGCTAAATGAGTAGTTTACCCCAAAAAACAATTTCATTAACATAGTTTTCATGTTAGGGTTAAGCTTATTGGTTTCAGTATCATCTGTTGAACACAACATACTGAAGAATGTTGGCAAAAAGCAGCCATTGATATCTAGTATTTTAGTTTGTACCATGGATGTCGATGGCTGCTTTTCCCCAACATTTTTAACAGTATCTTCTTTTGTGTTCTTTTAAAATTCATACACGTTTATCAAAACACTTGAATGCGAGTAAATGACATCATTTTGGTTTTTGGGTGAACTATCTCTTTAATAGGTAATGTTTGAGTCACGTTGATTAAGTTTGATTAATGTCAGATAGTATGCTGCTGTTACATCACATAGATAGATAGATAGATAGATAGATAGATAGATAGATAGATAGATAGATAGATAGATAGATAGATAGATAGATAGATAGATGTTAATCAAAATTACTATTATTTGAGTCGAAGTTACTTAAAATCAAACCAACTCTTCTGCTTTAACTACATTTTAAAGGTTGTGATCAGGTGGCCGACATGTTAACTTATTCTTGGTGACTAGGTAAAGGAATAGTTCACCCAAAAACACATTTTAAAAATGTAAAAAAAAAAAAAAAAAAAAAACACTCTAAAAAGTTATTTATTTAACCCAATAGTTGAGTTAAAAATATTTGGTGCTTTGTTGGGTTATTTTTAACCTTTATTGGGTTATTTATTAATAACTCAATCAGTTGGGTTAAAAATTTTGAATTTCAACAGTCAACTAATTTAACTGACCCAGAACAGCTGTATTAATATGCGGGCGTAATGTTGTTTTTGCTTTATAACCTTTATTTAAACTCTAACACTGCTGTTTTTTATCAAATTACCTCTCCATCTCATGTTTTTCTATCTGCTTCACCAGCGATCTGTATTAAATGTATAAAAACGCTCTGTCTGGAACTTAAAATGTAGTAGAAATAAAGCATTTTCAATATTTTTAAAAAGCTGCATGTCATTTATTTACACAGAAATAATGATACAAATAATAGTAGTACTAGTAATTGTAGCATTAGTAATACTAGAATGGAAAAAAGAACATTTACTCAAAATAACCCAATGCATGGGTCAAAATAACTCTAGTTGGGAAGGTGCTATAATAACTTATATAGTTGGGTTGTATGTCTATTTTAACTGAGTACATACATTCATTAACATAACTGTCCATAACATAATTTCCATCTGTAAGGGTTAAGTTTATTGGTTTCAGTAAATTTCATCTGTTGAACACAACATACAGAGAATTGTTGGGGGGAAAGCAAATAACAATAGTGGTTTTAGTTTCTGCTATGGATGTTAATGGCTGTTTTTCCCCAACAGTCTTCAGAGTATCTTTTGTGTTCAACAGAAGAAAGAAAATTATAAAAGTTTATCAAATGACATAAATTTAATTTTTGGGTGAACTAGCCCTTTAATAAGTAATGCTTGTGTTGTGTTGATCAGATTAGGATCATATCAGACAGCATGCTGCTGTTACATTAGATATTATAATGTTCATTTGTTTGCTCATTTGTTTGTTTTGATTTGAAAATAGACGCTTTTTAATGTTTGCACCTCTTCAGACAGTGTTCAGACTGCTTAAAATGCCCTTGCAGAGATCAGATCAAGAGGAAAGTGTGGTAAATTGTAAGTTACCATGAATGACAAAGGCTCGTGTGCGTCCAGTCAGAAGGATCTGCTCTCCGTATTTAAATCAGCGCGTGTGTCCGTGTGTTGTGACGTAGGCGAGCGCGCAGCTGGACATCAAAGAGGATAAAAGCGGCTGTCCACGGGTCCCTAAGCTCTTTTAGCGAAAGCACAGCGAGTGTTTGTGAGCGAGTTTAGGTTATCTCGTCGGTGACCGGAATGATTTCAGCACCGCGGACAGCGACGGACCGAACAAAACTCCCGTACTGTCACGAATCTGTAAGCATTTTTAAATCATTTATAAAAGTGATTTGTATTTATCTGTTCCGCTCCGGTGTCATTTCAATTCGTTTCCACAAGTTATTTTGAGGTTTACTGAGGAGGAGTCAAAAATGTGTGTGCGCTGTCCCGCCAAATAACCTTGAAAGCGCGCGCGCGAGGATGGTTGTCTTTGTTTAGTCTCGTGTTTCCATTAAACAAACATTCAGTCGTCAGAGCATTGATCAATAATCATTCAGTACAGGCGACAGAGGCTGATTAGATTGTGTTTTGATATATTTGGTATCAGTGGTGAGTGTGTGTGTGTTAAATGATCGTCTCCTCGCGATCGATCGGTTGTGCTCTCGGGAGTCGGTAACAGTGTCTCTCTTCTGTCTGAGACCGTTACCGAGAGCCGCGGGTGTACATAATTAATGAGGCGTTTAGTAACAACAGCCTGGAGCATTTATGCGTGGTAAGTCTCGGTTTACCCGTTTAAAAGTGGCGGTGCCATCATACAGTATAGCTCTCAGATGGTACTGTCCAGTGATATTTACATTGAAGCACTTGACTAAACTTGGTTCTAATATGGTAAGTCAGGCTCAAAGCCAGCCTATTGAAAGGGGGTTCTTATTTCTGAAAAAGTCGAATTTTTTGCTGTTATTCGCCTCATTTTTCTATAAATTTTAGTGACATTTTAAAGAACTATTCTTTGCTGAATCAGCTTGTGGGATGGTGATCATAACCACACTTTTTGATGCACCAAAAATATTTCCTACAATTTTGTCAAAGTGCTGAAAGTATTTATTTACACATTTGGATTTAAACTGTAAGTTAATTGCTATATATATATATATATATATATATATATATATATATATATATATATATATATATATATAGTAATATTGTTATGAGATTAGCATTTTCAAAAAATAATAACAATGAAATATGAAGAAATACTTGAAAAAAACTTTTTAAAAACAAATTTATTATCATTTATCCTAAAAAAAAATATAGGAATCTGATAAAACTTGTTTTAAATTAAAAACTGTAGCCTGTGGGCAAATAAAAACTCTCCAGCTCATTCAACTTTCCTTAGTCAGAATCTGGCCACTTGAATAATTAAAAAATATGCCTTAATGCCTTCTTCTATCTACAATTTTCACAATTAATGATGGCATAGCGATCAAAATGTGATAAATTAGCTCATGTAGGGGTCAAATTCTGCATTTCGAGCCACCCAAACCCCCTTGGCTTTTTGCCTCTAAGTGCAGGAAATGGTCTAATTGATTTTAATATAGCCTATAGAAGACTGATATAAAGTTGAACTGTCATCTCAGCCAAAATGAAGCATTTTTGTTTAACAGCACCTCAGAATAATGAGACATATATATTACAAGCTGTGCCTTTATGCTGGATATTAGCTAAGAAACTAATTCTGCACAATTAGAAGCCTGAATGTGAGCTTGTTTTTGATATCTGGTTTAGGTTTTTATAAACCTAGGATATGGTAATGGTGACCTGTAACTGCTTATGGGCTGAAATGGTTTCAAGAGTTCACACTTAGCTGATGATTGATTATAAGCAAGTTTGGCATGCTGTCCCGGGAGAGAGCCCTGAGCTCGAAGGTTCTTGAGCCCTGGGCTCCCTCCCGTTTGGAGGAAGAGAGGGGAGCCTCGAGCTCAGGTAGATCTCGACAACTCCCCTTTTTATAATAGCTAAGGATTAAGATTGAAGGCTATTAAAAGATATGCTGCATTATTAGATTACCTGTATTGAAATTTAGATTTAACGATTAACTTGTTGTACATGTTTTTGGAATGTGGGAGGAAACCGGAGAACCCGGGGAAAACCCACGCAAGCACGGGAAGAACATGCAAACTACACACAGAAACGACCACCGGCCTGTTAAGGAACTAGAACCGGTGACGTTCTTGCTGTGAGGCGACAGTGCTAGTCACTGAGCCACCGTGCTGCCCTATGGAGGGAAAGGTGAAAAGGTAGGGGTGGAAGGGGGGATTCTTCAAATCGAAGATGACTGTAGTGAGAAAACCCTGGCTCTTTATAGTGGTTAGGAATGGCCTGATTGGTGGATCAAGCATGCTAATGCAGGACCAGCCGTGTTCAATCATAATCACGTGCTCCTCTCGAAATTAGTTTATGAATAAACTTCACTTCAAGAGTTCACACTTAGCTGATGATTGATTATAAGCAAGTTTGGCATGCTGTCCCGGGAGAGAGCCCTGAGCTCGAAGGTTCTTGAGCCCTGGGCTCCCTCCCGTTTGGAGGAAGAGAGGGGAGCCTCGAGCTCAGGTAGATCTCGACAACTCCCCAAAATGCTCCGCTCGGGACAGCAGCCGCGTATTTGAAGAACCCCCCAAAAGGCACAGGAGATTAATGCCATATCCGGCTGCTGAAAAGTGATACAGAAATAGCTTGGAGGAGCAACAGAGACTGGTGTGGGTGTAAAAATTAACTGAAAGTGCTTATGTATGACTATGTGTGCTCCCGGGTTCTGTTAATTGTAAGGACCAGCGGGAGAGTGAGTGGGGTAAGTGTAAAGGTTTAAAACATATGTGGTGAGTTTCGTA